GCTGCTGTCTGGACGGCTGGACTGTGAGTGTGAAGTTTTGAAAAAGCAATTTGGCTGTGAGGGGCCTCCGGAGGGTTAGCTCTTTTGCAACCCTCTGGCCCACCCTCTCCGGGTGCCGACTTTCTGTGACTGTTTCTGACGAGCTGCGCCTCTCCTCCGCTCTGTGTGGAGACACTGTGTCAGAGAGGAAGGGGAGCACTGTGTATTACACATCTGAGTCCTAATAAATAAATTCAGAGGCAGATATCGTGCTATCTAATGGAGTGTGGGAAAAGAGCAATAAAGATCAGCAGCAGTCTTCCCAGGAAGCCGGGGAGGAGGGCAAGAGTTGGAGAGGAGCTGAACTTGTGCCAAATGGTGGGAGCCAAAGACGAAGTTGTAGGCTGCAGGCAGTGGAAATTGTGCTAAGCTCATCTCGGCTGGGGTCTCAAAGGCAAACACTTCTAGGCTGTCTAAAGGCTAACGAAATGGGTTGTAGGGAAACACTGCCACTTCATTTTAAACCTAAACCAAAACCCAAACCTTTAATCTGCACACCCCTTCTTGTCCCTTTGATGTCAGCCATTTTACGGGGCTTGATGGTGGAAGGTGTCTGCGGTCTGAAGGCTGAATCCATCTTTCCTTTCTGGGTAAGGTCTCCCCCAGTGCTGTAGGATTCCTTCTGCTTCCACCTGGATCCCTTCCTGGGCTGCAACTGTTTAAATGGGTGAGACTACATGACCTCTAGGGTCTCTTCCACTTCTAAAATCCTATGAAATATCTTTGTTTCAGGGGAATTGGAGTTCAGAGCTTAAATGCCCTGGGATGATCTGACAAGACCAGGAGTTGGGCTGGTTGATGCAAAATAAAAAATGAAAGCCCATGGCTCTTTTTTAAAAGTTAAAGAAAAAAAGGGTGTCCTGACAGGCTGAAAATATCTCCCAGGTTTCCCAGGTCTCCTAAACGTTATGGGTGTGAAACTGGCCACTGGGAATGAAAAGTGGAAACAGGAATAGATCAATTAGCTGAAGCTTTGAGGTTCAAATTTCATGAACTCCTGAGAGCGCTTTGGTCTTCCAAGAAGACAGAATATATGCAAGAAGCTGAAAGCTTTTTGTCCATGCCGAGTTTATTTTCTCAAACACTGCTTATCCATTGTAAAACTAGCAGTCTTTGCTGAAAGACCATCTCGTGAAACATTTGAGGTAGAAGTGGAATATTTCATGCAATCGTATTTCCCCATGAGGAAGCCCGTCCAAAGCTCAAATGATTCACACACAGAAAAGTTCACGGAGCTGCTCATGTCTGAACTCAAAATTCTCAGGAGACACATTAGCTTGTTTGATAAGACAGAAAGAACAGTGTTTTTGTGCAAGTATTTAATACAGGAAATATGAGTCTAGTCTGTATCTTTCCAAGTCCATGTGTATGAGAGAGTTTTGAAGTAAAATGGTGCTTATTGTCTTAAAAACATAGTTAAAAGAGATACACTGAGGACACTACCAATGAAAATGCTTCTCTGATCTGTAGCGAGCTGAATAAATATCAAAACACACACAATCTAATAACAACAAAACTCAAGCAAGACTCTGAGCGACAGAGAATGGTTTCAAAGATATTTCACTGTCAAATCTTTTCCAATTGTCCTGCAGACACAGTTTCGTAATTAAAACACATCACACGTCAAATTGTGCAGCAAACAGCAGTGCCAATGCGGAGGCTCAGAACCAGTCTGACAACTTTTCTGAGATTAGAAAAAGGGAAAATATCGCTTTACGGAACTATTTTTCAGAAATCCACAGGAGCACCCCGCGGAGACCAGGGCGAGGCCGGCGGCGCTGGCGCTGAGCAGGGCCCCTCTGCCTCCCGGACTCCAGCCCGGAGGTCTCTGGGCTAACGATGACGTCACACCGGAAGGCAACCTCTCTGGGCCATTTGGGTCGTAAATATTCTCCCAGGCTGCCTTTTAGCAAAATAGGCACCTGAAACCCTTTCTCCCATCAGGTGGATGTTTTAGAAAATGATCCGACAAGACTGCAGCAAGAAGGAAGAGGAGAGGAGTCTGGAGTGCCTGGCTTAGCGGAAGGATGCTACCCTCCTGAAGGGCAAGAAGCTAAGAAGCTGCTGCAAAGGCAGCTGCGCGCCGGTATTGACGCTCCTGATGGGACCTCAGACGCCGTTCCTCCGCTGGAGAGTCAGTGTAGGGGAATGTGGGCGGCGGCAGCGCGGGTCTCAGAGGCGTGCCGCCCTGCTCTGCCTCCGTTCCCCTCACAGCAAAGATGAGGAGCAAAGGAGAGAAAAGAATGTGGGGGAGGCACGTGAGGGCAGTGAGATGTGCGGAAATTTTCCTGAGCAGAAGATGTGGGCAAATAGAGATTTTAAAAAATAATAAACATTTTAAAAGGAGAGCTAATCATGGCAATATCTGACATCCAAACACAATCCTAATGATTTTGTCTAAGCTTGTGACCAATAGTAACTGAAAATCCCTGGAGCAGTAAGCATCCCAAAAGTCAAGTTCCAGAAAATAACTGTCTCTGGTCCGTTGGGGACCTGGCAGTTGAGTTTTTCTCCTCCTCGGTAACTGGCTGGTTTTCCAACCGCTGCCGTCGCGCAACCACCTTCTCTTTGCCTCTGTCCTATTTTCCTTCATTTCCTTTCAACTAATCTGAAATCCTCACCTTTGTCCTAAATTTGAAGCTCAAGATTCGTTTAAAAAAAAAAAATGACCTGCCACTGAGCATGTAATTTTTATAAATGTCTGCCCAACACTAACAGCACCAAGTAATAAGATTCAAATCCCCAAAGCCACATTATTCTGCCAAGCCCTCGCTTTCCCCCAGACTTACCAGAAGGTGGATGTCTGCCAGGGAAATACAATAAAATGTGAGAACAGGAATAAATAAAAATAAAATTCTATATCTCTGCCTGCTTAGTTTCCCTTTTTTATTTGAATCGTTTTCCTTCTCTCCTTTTCTCATATTATTTATTTTTATCTACCCTTGTTTTTGCCCCCTGCATTGATGATATTAATATATCTACCCTTTCCTTATGAATTTTCCAGACAAGCGGGTTGCCTGCACCTTTTGAACAATTTCCTCTCTTGCCTGTTCTGATTATATCTTCTGTGTGGAGTCAGTCCCTCCAAGTGGAGCTCTTCTTTGTCTTTTGTGTCTGTGCCATGATTCCATCTCTTGGTTCCCCTGTGGTCGGCTTTTGCAAATCTTAGCTAGCTTTTCACTGTCACAGCATCTCCTTCTGGTCGCTGTTTGTAAGGCCTCCCCCATTCGCTGTTGCATTCTTGAGAAATCTCTTGAATCCTCAAATGCTCTGTCCCCCCTAACTGGCATGAGAGATGATTTGGGGCTTCCTTTTCCTTTACCCCATCTAATAAGCTTCACTTATTGCTTTTTCCTCCCTGTTTAGCCCACCAGCTCTATCTCTGTCTGGGGTGATCAAAAGAGTTTCCCTCTGGGTGTATACCTCCTCGCAGGACTCTGCCACGTGACAAGGAGGTGTCCTTGGAGGGAGACCATCAGGAGCATTCCACTGGAATAACCATTTTGGGGTGGGGCACATGCAGCAGGAAGTTGGAGTTTGCTGTTGGAGTAACTTGGTTTGGATGGTGGGGCCCCAGGACTTCTCTTTTCCAGGGATTCTCTGGGACCATGGCAGCATCTCTCCTTATTAACCACTGAGCTAAGAAAATACAGATCCCCCGCACCAATGCATTCCTTATTCCCTTAGTGAGAAGAATATACTCTGAGCCCTCCCAAGGAACACAGTGAGGTGGCAGATTCTTAAGTCTGACATAGTAAATCTGTTATAATATTACCCTCCTGAACCTTCTGACTCCTTTCTCAATACTATGACAAAGCAGCTCTGACATTTCTACCTCACTTCTCATAAGCCGTTTTTATGTGGGCCCTAAACAATAATAATGACAAATATGACTTAAAAAGACGCTTTATTATAAAGTTGAAAAATACGACACAATTCTCTAAATTATAACAGGGGAAATTATAGCATCTCAAATGTTCATTTTGTATGTTTCTATTTTTTATTTAATGATGAGGAATGATTCTTTTGAATAAGATCAAGTAATACAACTAGTAGAATAATAAAGCTCTGAGATATAGAACTGATCCAGACAATGACAGCATTTTAAGCATTCAGCTTCTGGCTTACGGGGTGGTGGTCCCTATAGGCAGCAATTTCCCTCCTTATGCTACAGGCTAACTCCTCACCTAGATAAGAGTCACAGGAAGCTGGGGTTAAGGAGAAATCATGGACCAATAAAAACAAAGATGATCAAGGTTTTCAGATGGAGCCTTACAGAAGCTTACCAGCTCGCCTCAGCGGGAGGAAGTGATGTAACGAGCATCCTGGCTTCTGCATCCTGGAACATCAATAACACTATGGTTGCCCTGCAATGTTTGGGACATTTATACTAAAATATTGTTATTTATCTGAAATTCAAACTTACCTGGGCATCCTGTATTTTATCTGGCAGCCCTAATAGTGCACAACCATCACAGGGCATACTTCATTCCTATGGGGTCCAAGGACAGCTATCCATCTGCTAATGATAACCTATAACACACCTATGAGAGATTCAAATTCCTTCTCAGCTCCAAAGCCAAGGGGGCTTATGAAGTCCAATTTCAGGTCATTTCCAGACTCAGTTTGGCCTGTTTACTTCAGGGACACTGATTAAGTCATATATTACAAGGAAGCCTCCCATTGCCCCTAATTCGAAACAGCTGAGCCAGCTTCTCCTGCCAGTCAAGCCTCCTGGTGGAAGCCTCTGGAGGGGACTGTGCCTGGGAGGACGGGGGGAGGGCAATGGGGGCAGGTTTAATACGGAGCGAGGACATGTCTTAATGCTCTTGTGGAAATGCTCCTTATGGAGCGTCAGGTTACAGAGCCCGGTTAGGTGGGCGGGGGGGGGGGGGGGGGGGGGGGGGAACGGAGTGCAGGGGGCACTGGAGAAACCGCTGCAACATTTGAGGATCAAAGAATCTAGCCTGTCAAGTGCTATGATATTTTTTGAATGAGGAAACAAGCTCACATTTTCCCCCTGAGGGCTTAGCGACAAAAGCCAAGGTTCAACTAAAATTTTTTAAGACTCTTTTTTTTTTAAGCCGCAAACTATGTTATGCTTCCTCTCTAGCCTTTTTCCCCTTGAAACTGCGGGGAGAGGGGTGGGCAGGAGAACACTTTCTTTTGAGGCTATACTGATAACTGGTTAGGTAAATTTGGCCATTTTGGAATGTACAAAAACATTCATTTGGTGCCCATAAAAGTGGTGAATGTGTTCATTTACTCACCAAAGCTTACCATTCCATCAGTGAGGGAGGATGTTTTACCTAAATCTACAAGGCGATGAGGGGCTGGCTATGGGCGTGCACGTAGCTCAGCTGTGCTTCCTGTCCTCTGTTTGTTTTTCTTTCCCTGTGTACCTGCACAGGGTTGAAGAAGAGAGCATGGGGTTAAAGGATGAGGCAAGAGGGAGGAAGAGGCCAAGAGGATGGGAAGATGATTGTGATGAGTATTTTCCTTCCCTTTAACAAATATTTCAAGTTTTGCCTGTTTGGAGAGAAGCCAGCTTGTTTTAACTTCATTTTCCAGTGGGTGATGCTTCCATGAATTTGATTGAACTAGAGAACAAGAACGAGAGAGAGTCAAGGTAAGCGTGCTGTGCACTGAAGCATCCCGGTTGAGAGCAGTTCTGCGTTCATGTCTGTTGACCATAAACATAACGTTAGCTATGCCAAGAAATAAACAGAAGATAAAATCAAAACTCAGTCTTCATATGGCTCCAAGGCAGGCCCTATATTTGCCTTAGCATGCGGTTTACAATATCTGTTCTAGCCTGATAGAGGTTTGGAAACTTATAAAACAAGGGTTCTTTTAAAAAGCAGAAGAGGAGCTTTTGAAGAGCAGAGGCTGCTTCTCAAAAATCCTAGCTGAGATTTGAGTCAGCTCTGTGAATCCGGAGTGCACATCTGTGGATCACATACAACAGCAATGTTTTCATTCGATTAAACGCCAGAGTAACCTTCCCAGGCCTGGCCACAAGCCTTCCCCATATCCATCAAGAAGATTCTAGTGGAATTCCCATTAGTTAGCGGCAAGAGAAAAGGTGATGATGTTCCTGCTGTGGTTGAGGTGAGATTATGCAGAGGTCAGGAGGACACGTGGAAGCAGTAAGTGGAGAAGTCTGGACTAAGGAGACGCTAGATTGCTTCTCTAAGTGCTGATGGGAACTCAAAAGATGAACTCAGCACCAATCCACACTCTACACTGTAAGATCCTTTTTTTGTTTGTTTAAACTGAGGTACAGTGGTCCAGCTCACTTTTAGTAAAGGGCACAAACCTTAAGTGCTCAGCTCGATGAATTTTTACAGATGTGTATGCCCATTTAGCCACTCCCAGATTAAGGGTCTGGAGTTCCCGAAAGAAGCAGCCCTGACCACAGCATTCCATGTGCAAGAGTTTCATACTTTTAAATGTCAGAATAACCTTCTTTCCTGGCCTGGCCCCAAGTCTTTCCCATGGAGAAACAGCCATATTAAGCTAAATATGATTTTTAAAATTACCTTAATTGTGTAACACAAGGCTACACAAAACAACCAAAAGCTTTCACTTTTGCCATTGAGCCCAGTCCAAACCATCCATGTGACAACATCTCAAGAACCAGTCCTTCAGCATCCCAGCTTCTTTTAAGTCTAGAAAGCAATGAAGGCTTTCCATGTGAGGATGTAAGCAAGAATCATGAGCCTGGAGAAGTAGAGGTGGAATTTGCGAGGCTCTCGATCCTTCACTAGGTCTACAAGTGTCTCCTTCCATCTGTCCACCACTGCTTCTTATTGCTCAGTAACCCTTGATTTTTCTGAAACTTTTTTTATCCCCAGACTTTTTGCCAATCTGATAACACAAAGTGCCCAGGATCTAGATTACAAAATAAATGTGGAGAGAAATGACCCAGAAATGCTTCAAACCCTGAACCACACGTTATTGGCCAGTAGAGTGCGTGAAATCTGCCAAGAACTTTGTGCCATGACCTTGGACGGAGTGGACTTTGTAGTCCCAGAGGCCCTGGTGATTCTCCTGGATGCCTCTTAAAATCTGTACCAATTCTGAGAAGCAGTCTCCATTCTGAGACTGGCACAAAGGTCTTCTGTGTCACACGAAATTGAACACAGTTTGAGGAACAGGATCTGAATTTAGAAATGTCTCCCAAAGCTTTATTGCTAAATGGAAAGTGGAACATACCTGAAGCAGAATTGTACTTTTATTAAAAAATGGCAAGCCCTACAAGAGAGAGGCAAACCTCAGGATAAAAGCTTCAATAGATCAAACAACTAAACAACAAGCACTTATTAAATACCTTTAGTTCATAAATATGTGTATTTAACAGATCTTTATGAATATTTATTGAGCATCTGTATTAGTCAGGATTCTCCAGAGAAACAGGACCAATAGGGTATATTTATATGTAGAGAGAGATTTATTTTAAAGATTTGGCTCATGCAATTGTGGGGATAAATCTGAAATCTATAGGGCAAGCTGGTGGCTTAGAAATTTAGGAAAGAGCTGATATTGAATTTGAGTTTTAAATCCACAGGGCAAGGCAGCAGACTGCAAATTCAGGCAGGGTTTCTATGTTGCATTCTTCAGGCAGAATTCCTCCTTCTTTGGGAAACCTCAGTTTTTGCTCTTAAGGCCTCCAACTGATTGATAAGGCTCACTCATATTATGGAGGGTAATCTGTGTCATTAAAGTCTACTGATTGTAAATGTTAATCACATCTTAAAAATACCTTCACACAATATCTAGACTGGTGTTGGACTAATTGACCTATCACCATAGCCATGCGAAGTTGACATATAAAATTAATTATCACAGCATCTAAATGTCCAAACACTGTACTAGGGACCATGGATGACATTCATGGAAGATAAGACACAAAGACTGATAATAAATAATCCTCTTTCAAGGAGCTTATAACCTAGTAATATAGAGAAGATACAAATGCCTTCCCTCCTCTTTCCAGAAATATGGTCAACTAGATTATCTGAAAAGCCCTTCTGATGAAGTATTAAACAATGATTTTAAGTGATTTGCTGAACTAAAGAAAAGCAATAAATCTGCGGAGGCCAAAAATGCACTGATAGCAGGAACTCTAGGAGGTTATACATCAAACTCTGGTGACCTTGGCCTTTTATTAGAATGACTGCTCAGGACATAAGATAGAAGATAAAGCCCCTCAGGACCCAGCCAAGTGAAGAATCAAATAGAAGAGCTTCACTTAAAGGTGGGACCCAATGAGCCATGTCTCTGAGTTAGCGTAGACTAGAAAAAGTGACTGTGCAGAGGGGGATATCGAGGAAACTTGGTGCTGGATAGAGTCAGTCTTCATAGGGTTTATGACCTGAATTCATACTATCTCTGTGGGCTAAAAACAGATAAAAAGAGAATTTATAAACTGGAAAAGGCATTTGAAGAAATTATCTAGAAGTTAGCCCAGAGACACAAAAAGATAGAAAATATGTAAAAGTGGCTAAGAATTATGGATAAATTGAGAAAGTCTAGCATAAGTCTAATAGTAGTTCCAATTATTTCCAGAATTACTGAAAAATCTCAAACCTGATATTCAGGAAGCCAGTGAATCCTAATTAAGATAAATAACTAGAAAAACATTAGATACATCATGATGATGCAGAGGAACAACAAAGACATAAAGAAAGTTGTAAAAACATCTGGAGAGAAAGGAGAGAACAAATATAAAGGAGCAAGTAGTGCTCAGCAGTAAAATGAAAGGCAAAAGACAGTGGAGTAATATTTACAATCTGCAGAAAAAATAAGCCAATCTAAAATTTTATGCCCAGAAAAACTATCAAGAACAAGTATGAAATAAAGACACTTTCAGGCAAACAAAATGGAGAGTTTAATACAAAAGAATTCTCATTCAAGGAGGAAGCTAAAGGATATAAATTCCATCCAAAAATAAGGCAAGTAAGAGAGAAAATCAAGTAACAGAGGAGACAAGACAAAGAGGAGTTACAAAATAAGGTGATGGAAATAAATGTAAATACGTTGGTAATCAAAATAAATGTAAGAAGGAAATCCAGGTATATACTGTTGCAGAGGTTCATAACACACAGAAAGATTTAAACTAAATAGATAGAAAGCCATCTATCAGCCATACAAACCGAAAGACAGTTGGTATGTCTGTTTAACCATCCCACCAAATAAGAAGAAAAAAAAGAATTGCTAGTGGTAAATAGGGTCACTGTAAAATGATAAAAGATTGGATACATTAAAAAGGTATCACAATTCTAAACTGATATGCATTTAATATAGAAAACAAAAATTAAGAAGACAAATGCAGGAAAGTATAGCATAAATTTTTAAGTGACAAGTGTTGTAGAAGAATGAGCAAAATACTATGTTAATTCAGAGAAGAAAGGGATAATGGTTAATAAAGTTGGGAATGTATGGTAGAACGGGAGTATGAAGGGTGCTGAAAGTCAGAGAAATGTGGACTCAGCATGAAAGGAAATTGGTAACCACCTATACTCCTAAACAAGAAAGTGACATGATGCAAGCGTTTCTTAGGAAGAAAAGCAGAAAACCTGGCTATTGTGTACAAGCTGAACTGGATGGGAGAGGTCAACACCAGGTGTAGGCAAAGAGAGAGGTCATAATATCTTGGATTGGGGGGCAGAGGACACGAGAAGGAGGGGTAAATCCAAAAGACATTTTCATGGACAAAAATCAAGAGAAAACGCAGTCGCAGGGCCATTTGGTGGGTTATTTGTTTAGGAAGTGACTGTGGGAAATATGCTCCCCAAAGATAACCATGTGAAAAGACACCTGGATCCTAGCTGATTCCTAGAGGACTCATCTCTACTAGCCTCAGAAAGTAAGGCCAATGCCCTCAATTTTTGTGGGTAACAAGCCACTATAGAGGCCCTGTGAAGATGATTTCAAAACATTGGTTGAAGGAAGCACCAGGGGAAGACTTTGTGGTTCTAGAACTGTTTAAAAACCATCCTAAGTTTGTTTGCTGTAATCACAGTGCAGGCAGGGCACGGTCAAGCCAGACCCAGAGTCGCGGATTGCCTATGGAAACGGACTTCTGGATATACTTCTTGAAATTATTTTTCCAGGCTGAAACTGTTACGACTGCGGTCTAAGGAACGGAACATTTGGCCTTGGTAGCTCATCAGCTCATGCATCAGCTGGGTGCAAAGCAGTTTCTGAGGAGACTGCGCCCGGCCCACCGGTGCTCCCTGGTCCACCTCTAACCGCAGGTATGTGGCTGCTGATTCACACCTACATCTTTCTTTGATTTCTCAGTTTTTACAAAATGTCGTTAAACCTAATCTCAGAAATCTGTCTACTAAGGCACATAGGTCTATATTCAACTGGAAATAGGGAGTAACTGCAATTGAGAGAGAATAGAGAAGAAAAATCAAGTGCATTGGGAGTTAATGTTTAGCAAGCTTTCAGTTGCAAGTAACAAGGAGGGTTGCTTGAAGGAGGACATCTACTATTTTTCAAGCAGTACCCTGTGAGGTATTCTAAAACAAAATCCCACCTCAGATGAAGCAAAGGCAGCTGAGAACTGGCGACGTGGCCCACAATGTATCCAGTCCCCAAAAGGTGGATTTTCCGAATTGTGTTTCTGACAAGATGCCATAAGCCTCTATGAAGGATCACTATTTTAAAAATAGTGATGAGATTTGTTGTTTCATTCTCCTAAAAATTGTGAGGATGTTACTTTTAAAATCATACAGTGGCCTCTTTCCTCCAGGGTAAAACTCCTTGACGAAATTCCCGTCCCAGCCTAGTGTCAAAAGTAGTTGCACTTCTGAAGTTGGTATTTATTTTCTGACACCAAATTGTGTACTTGACTAATTTTCCTTTCATGTTATACGTGGCCCCTTTCGGGAGATGTGTTGGTTAGAGGACACTTTGCAGCCCCAATCCTGGTCTTCTTTCTTGTGTTCCTCCCCCATTTTTTCCCTTTTTTTCTTAGATATTTATGGAATCTTGTTGTATTTTATATACCCTTAGTTTGCTTTAAATTCTATGTGGAACAAATTTGGTATAAATAATTATTTATTTATTAACAATTGCTTATTTACTTATTTTGAACTAAAATGGTTTGAGATATATTAGAATTGTCCATGTCCCCATTGTGCTGGGGGTCAGGACAATGCACCTTCTGTGAGATTTTGCCTAAAAGTCACTCCCTTTCTTAGCTTCTTCCCCTTCCTGCTCTGCTGCTCCCGCTCAGGAGCATCCTTAATCAATCACTGGCAGACAAATCTTTGTCTCGGGATGGGCCCCTTCACACAATCTCCCTCACCATCTACCTTCAAATGACCACTGAGTCCCACTGATTCTGCCTCCTAAATGTCTTTGGAGCTTGTCCTCTTCTTTCCTTCCCCACCATCCCCCACCCTGGCCCGAGGTCACATCCACCATCTCATTTCCACTGGACTACTAAAACAGCCTACTGGATTCTGGAATTATTCTTCTATATGAATCCTTTCTCCACATGGTAGCCAAGAGAGATCTCCCCCAAATAAAAATCTGATCATATCATTTCTTTGCTTAGAATTCTTCAAGGATGTCCCGTTGGCCTTAAGATGAAGTCTAAACCTTTAAATGGGCTTACCAGACCCTGCAAGATCAGGACCCTTCAGGCTCTTTCCTTCCTTCCCACTCCTCACCTACTCCTTCTGTCTCCAGCCTAGCAAACTTCTTCCTCTCCCCTAACTTTGGGCATGGGCTGTTCACTCCTCCCAAACACTCTCTCTCTCTTCCCCGCTCGAATCATCTGGGCATTTGTTTGAAGAATCCATTTGTTCACAAATATCTCTTGAGGCCCTGCCAGGTACTGGGCATTGAGATTGGTTCAGAGGAGCGCAGCAGCCAACCGGACACTCGGAAGGTTTAGGCACAAAGGCCACTTTCCCAGAGGCCCCCTCTCGGTCCACCAACACTCAGTTGGTGACTCACTGGGCTGCTGTGAGCTCCCACAGCACCTGTAACTACCACCGTGTTCTGTACTAACTGCCTGTCTAATGTGCCTTTAAGCTGTGTTGTCTCTGAACTGCAGGCTCCCTGAGAGCAGAGCCTGGGTCTGTCTTGTTTCCTGCGTTAGCCCCAGATCACAGCATGGTAGCTCGCTTTAGTAGGCGCTCCATAAATAGTTGCTAAGTGAGTTAGTTTTTCCCATCGTTGTATTACAAAGATGATGGCTCATGTGGTCCTTTTTGCTCCAGCCACGTTTGCTGTAGACTCAGGTGTGGTAAGAAGCAGAACAGCCTCACCTGCACCCCCTTCTTAAACCATCCTTTCAGACAGTTTGGGTTCAGGAACAACCCAAAATGCCCTTGGCCAGAAGATATTTTTCACCCACCAATTTTCATAACCCTGTTTGTTTGAGAGGAAATTTGATCCAGATGTTTCAGATTCATTTACATTAAACTCATCACCACGTGACACTATAAGAGCTTTTGATGGCCACAAAGTCCTTTTTCACAAACCAGGCAGTTGCCTTCTGCCAGCTATAAATGAGTGCAAGACCCCTATTCTTTGCACTTGGGTCCAAATTTAGCAAGGATTGGGAGAGTGTGAAGTTTGGCAACTGTACATTCTCCCCTCCCTGCTGAGGCATGGATGGGATTTTATAGACTTTGGAATGTAGATTTCCTAATGATTCAGATGAATGTCACAATGTGATGGTTTAATCCACCAAAAGGACAATGAAACAAGACTCCTCCTTGTCTTTGTGACTTCTTCTGTCTATTTTAAAAAGAAGTGAGAGAGAGAGAGAGAGAGAGAGAGAGAATAGAAGGTAAAGAAGGAGTTTTAGAAGAGTAGACAATTAAACACACACATGTGCGCACACAAATACACACACATCCAAAATTCTTAACAACCTAACGATTCACTAACAGCGCCAGGGAATTTAAATGTGTTAGTCCCTTGGCAGGCAAAGAGCCAAGGCCCCCTCCCCTCTTCCCTCTCCTTGAGCTTTTCTCTACCCACCCCTCTCGCTGACATAAGGGTAGGTTTTGGCACAGAAAGATGACTCCTCATTCCATTGAATTAACCCAACACTGCAAAACTAACTCAAAGTGATCTGTAAGGATATTTTATGGCTCACAAGTGTTCATACCAGGGTGGTTCTCTGAAACAACTGGGAAATGTCAGCACAGCGAGTTGCTCCCTCCTCTGCTCATGGAGCACTTGACTCTCTTTGCTCTTAACATGTTGTAATGTATCTGTTTAAAAGGCTGTTCATACCAAAAGACTGGTAAGATCCAAGGACAGGAACTGTATCTCATTTATTCTTGTATACTCGGGACTCAGCACAGCATCTGGCACATAGCAGTTGCTCATGAAATGTCTGATGAATGAATAAACGAATGAACATGCACCTCTACATTAACCAGAGCTTCCAGATCACTGTGCCACCACATAGATATAGATAGATAGACTGAAATACAGAGAGAGGTAGACAGACATAGACATAGGATGAAGAGGGAATATGGAAAAGAAAGAAAATCTATTTCCTGAAAATCGTGTGAGTGGAACTAGAGAATTTGAAATAACTAAGCAAGTAGCAGCAAATGTAGATTTGAGCATGCCTATACATTACTTCTTCATTTGACTTTCTGTTTCCATTTTTATAGGCTTTTTAGGGAGGCAGATTCCTGAAAACTGACACATCTCAGCCTTCCAATGATGCCATAGTCACAACCTCTTTGCAACAGGCAAATCTGTGTCTTCAACACTATTGAGAAACACTCCACAAATCCTTCAGTGAGCCAGGACACTTATGCCCTTGCTTAGATCCAAAGCTAATGACATCTGTTTATAAAGGGGAAAAAGAGATCATAATTTTTTAAGTCATGTTTTTCCATGTGCGATTGGATTTTCTATGTCAGCCTGAAAGCCACATGCTTGCTAGACCACAACAGTGCAGAAGCGTGAGCCCCTGTCTGAGAAGAAGGAAAGGATGAGGTCACCCCAGCAGTTAAGGACTGAAGGGATTACAAGATTTGAAGTGGGATTTGGAAAAATCTCTGGTGCTGTGAATACTGGGGCTGTGAGCTGTCTCTTCACCTGGGCAGAGCCCCTCGCTCTCACCCCTCCAGTTACCGATGCTGTGTTATAGTAACTGCTCTCTTGGCTAAGACTGTGACAGGTTATCTTTTGTCGTTTTTTCCACTCCAAGTTTCAAGGGCTTTTTCTGTGGATCTTATTTTTTTCCCTACTTTTCTTCAAATCTTTTTGACAAGGTTTCAGATGGTGAGCAATCTTAAGTGGGGAGGGGTATTAAATGAATGGTGCATTTGGCAACCTGGAGCTACAATGGAGAAGCAATTAAGGAGGAGAGGAGGGGCCGCCATCATCTGGGGATCACTTCAAGCCTCGAAAGCCTGCACAGCTGTGTTTGCCTTACTTACTTGTGCGAGACTGCAAACTAACAAGACTAATATTGAGATTATTTCACCAAAATGGAACATATTTATGGAGCATCTATTATGTGTGAAGCATCCTCCTGGACGTTGTATAAAATTGTAACAATTAGTAGACCTTTCTTGACAGGGCACTTTCAATCCAGCAAAATCTTTGCAAAACATGTGGTGGTCTTGTGCTCCGTCAACTTAACGAAGCTGGAATTACCTTTCTCAGAATTTCCTTCCCTGTTTGGTTCTGGGGCAGGATGGCAAAGGAGAAATTTGTGGATGTGAAGGCGCCTCCATGTTTGTGCTCTGAAGGTTGGCGCAGGGTGCCAGGTGCTGTGGCACTGCTCACACTGTTGCTGATCTGCTGGCTCACCTGGCAGAGTGAGGGGCAACACCTTGACCCACAACTCCTCTAGCTCCTCCTTCTCCAAGTCCTGGGCCACATCCAGCACCACTCCATGGCCAAAGGCACCAGCTTCCCCTGCAGGGCAACCCACTATCCAGGCTGGAATTGTTGAGGGACAAAGGCAGGTTCCAGTTTGTCCTCATGGGTTCCACCTGTTCAGGTGGGTTCCAGTTTGCCCTCCATGTTCATCTATCCCTCGCAGCTACTGCCCCTGCTGACCTATAGTGACTCTAGGCTCAACACGAGATGCAGAGACAGCTGCCTGGCACCAATTCCTCCTCTGGCTTCCACAGTCGCACAGGGTCTAACCCTTTACTAAATGCCTCCTTCCATAGCACTCCCAGCGCTTCCATGTCTCTAACTCAACCCTGACTGATAAGAACATATACATATGAAGGACTCTTGGTCTGTTTAATGTCATCACTTGAGATTCCTATACATTTATTCCTCTGATGCTGACTGTCTTAGCCATCATGGGATCCATTTATTCCAATAATGCTGACTGTCTCAGTGAATATGGAACTGGGAAAGTCACTTCATCCTCCACGACTTCATCTGTAAGATGAGGGCTTGATCTAGATCAGCGTTTTTCATCTTTGTCTGATCATTGGAATCGCTAAGGTTCTCATCATGAGTACAGAACCCCAAAGCCACAGTTCAGATCCACTGAATCAGAATCTTCAGAGGAGTGATCACCAAATCTTTATTTCTACCAGTACTCCAGGTAATTCTTACCATCAGTTAAAGTTGGGGCAAGGCTGCCAGGTATGGTTTTGTAGTTGGTGCCCAAGAGGGTAAGTGGAAGTTGGAATCCAATGCGTGCTTTACTCACCAAGCTATGTGTCCTGGCCTGAATGCACAAAGATGACACTTCTTCAAATTTGCACAAAGGCTCCTGGCAGCCATCTTGGACAAGATCAGGCTTCCACATGATGTGCAGTCTGGCTGCAGACCTCAGGGCAGATGATGCCCCTCCTTTCCTCACTGCCGTAAAATATCCTTTCTACTCTGCATGAGAGGTGCTAGCTCAGGATAGTGGAAGGGTCTCACAGGCCCTCAGGAAGTGTCAGGACACCTTAGGTTTTCCATCATAGATAAAATAAAGCCTTTCCAAAAGGAGGTAGGTACACTGGCTGCTCTTCACTGCCCCCCTCCCTGCCCCCACATTGTCCTCATCCTTCACTGACATGCGCTTGGGCCCTGGTTGCTGACTGTGCATAGTGCATCTCCCAGTCTCTACTGCCTTCTGGTTCCTGGTTGAGTCTGGCCACTTGCAGGAGACTGATGGATGCGAGGAAATGGAAGTCTGAGTATTCCCTTACCTTTCTCTCACTCTCTTCCTGTAGGGAGTTGAATAGTGTCTTCCCAAAATTCATACACCTGGAACCTCAGAATGTGGCCTTATTTGGAAATAGGGTCTTTACAGATGTAGCTGGCTAAGATGAGGTCATACCAGATTAGGGTGGGCCCTAAATGCAATGACTGATGTCCTTAGAAGAAGAGGAGAGGATACACAGAGATACAGAGAGCAAGGCAATGTGAAGACAGAGGCAGAGACTGGAGTCATGCAGCCACAGGCCAAGGATTGCTGGAAGCCACCAGAAGCTGGGAAGAGGCAAGGAAGGACTCTTCCTTAGAGCTCTCAGAGGAATTGCAGCCCTGACAACACCCTGATTCCAGACCTCTGGCCTTCAGAACTGTGAGAGAGGAAATTCTGTTGTTTGAAGCAATCCAGTTTGTGGCATTTGTCACAGCAGCTGCAGAAAATGAATGCAGTAGTCCTCCTCACCCATAGTTTCCCTTCCTGCAGTGTCTGTTACCTGCCGTCAACAGTGCTCCAAAGATATTAAATGGAAAATTCCACAAAAAAACAACTCATAAGTTTTAAATTGTGCGCCATTCTGAGCAGCATGATGAAATCTCGTGCCCTCCCGCTTCATCCCACTCGGGACGTGAACCATCCCTTTCTCCAGCATATCCACGCTGGATACCCCACCCGCCCATCAGTCATTTAGCAGCTGTCTAGGTTGTCAAATCAACTGTCGCAGTATCGCAGTGCTTGTGTTCCAGTAACTCTTATTTTACTTAATAATGGCCCCAAAGCACAAGAGTAGTGATGCTGGCAATTCAGATATGCCATAGAGAAGCTGTAAAGTGCCTCTGTTAAGTGAAAAGGTGAAAGTCCTGGACTTAATAAGAAAAGAAAAAAGATCGTATGCTGAGGTTGCTAAGATCTATAGTAACTTTTACTACAGTATATTGTTACAATGTTCTATTTTGTTATTATTTATTATTGTTAATGTCTTACTGCGCCTAATTTATTAAACTGTGCCTAAATTATTAAACTTTATCAGAGGTATATATGTATAGGAAAAACATAGGATTCGGTACTCTCCATGGTTTCAGCATCCACTGGAGGTCTTAGAAGGCGTCCCCCGTGTATAACCGGGTCTACGGTACTCTCCCCTCCTATCTTAACTCCCTCCTGCCCTTGCTAATTACAGCTTCTGTTGGGCAGCCCTCTCCCATGGTGTCATGGTTCGGCATCTTTTTCCACAAAGGAGACACTGAGAAAAGCACTTGGCTGAATGTGATTTACTGGGGAGATGATGCCAGAGAGCACAAGTGAGGAAAAGTGAAATGAGACAGAAAAGGAAGAAAACCCAAGAGAAGGAAGATTAATGAGCAGTTGCCACTGTAAACATAAGAGACTCAATCCTGCTGGACTCTCTGTGGAACAATGCAGAATTCACCTCAGAACCTTGTGACCAAGGGATGGGCAGTTAGGCTGCCTAACCACTGACTACCATCCTGGGTAGCTGAGAGTCACCCCTGGGGTGTTCCCTCCTCAGTATTTTAGCTCTTCCTGTGCCAGGGCTGAGCCAGTGCCCTGGAAATGGGGAAAGCCCCCAGCAGGGAAGCTGAGAGTCACAGCGCTTAGGTGGGAAGCTGTCAGCAAGAAGGGAACTGTTCACCTCACGCAGGTGAACTCAGATGTGGGCCGATGGAATTCAGGGCAAAGCAACAACAGTGTCCAGTGCAGAGGGCTCCAGCTCCCACAGTGCTTCCTTCCATTGCCCCTGGACGCCCAGAAGTGGTAATGGGGCTTCTTATGACTGCTGGTCCCTGGCTGCTCAGCACTCCCTCTTTACCCTGCCCATACCCCTGTATGTCATGTCTTCATTAAATGGTCTTCAAAATCTCAACTGCTTCTATTTCCTGCCAGAACCCTGACTGACAGAGTGGAGCAGAGCCAGAGGTCTCCCAGAAGGCCTTTGGCTCTCTATAAGGAAACCCGCAGGCTCCCTTAACACAGTCAAGCCCATCTGTCACTGTTGGCCACGGAAATAGTTATTCCAGGTATAGTGGGAGCTCGATGCGTGTTGTCTGCAAGTTGCTTTCCTCTTCAGGATCACCTGCTTAAACCTCACTGTTGTCCCAGTGTTAGTGATGTTGGTTATGAGGGTGCTGCTTATCTTGGAAAATTTTGATCGTGAGGAGAACTCAGAACTCTTTTTTACACCTATATTAAGCTAAATGTGAATTAAAATGTCATCAAAATAATACAAAGCACACAGTAACAAAATAGTACATAAGAGCTTACCCAGTGTCACTCTCTGGAGACAATTTATTTTAACTTCTGTTGTTAGTTCTTTTGGTGGTAATCTCCAGAATTCTAGATAGTATGCTTATACCCCTATTTCTTAATTTATCAATTTTAAACATTATCTATTGACCCCCCATTGTAAAAGATGAAAATATTCTCATGCCTTTGTTCCCCTCCTCCTCCCAGTATTTAATACTTGTATTCTTATTCTTATTTATCTTTGAAATTTTAAACTTTATACAAAGTGCTACATCACTATTTCTTATTTCAACAGCTCCATTTTGTATCTTAAATGTTTATTATGAAATATGAGAGTATAGAGAATAATATAACACATTACTTCTTCAATATCTTTTATATATACATTTGTATGTGTCCATAAATTATAATATATAGTATTGCCCTCTATATTTCAAAAATTTACATAAGTGGTATTATTACTTGGAACATTTTACATTATAATTTACTTTTTTCACGCAATTTGATGTTTTCAAAATGCGTTCATATTAATACATGTAAGTTGTAGCCCTTTCGTTTGAACTGCTGCCTAGAATTCCATCTATGAATGTGCCACAGTGTGTATATTCAGGCCTTGTTGGTGGAAAATAATAATAACAGTAGTAGCAACAGCAATACTGAGCGCCCACTATCTGCCAGGCATTGTTGTAAGTACGTCGCGTTACATAACTAATGCGATCCTGGCTCAATGCTCATTTATCTCTGAGAAAACTGAGGCACAGAGAAAAAGCAACATGCCTAAAATCTCAATAGCTAATAGATGACCATCCAGCTCCAAGTCCTCTCTCTAAACCACTGTGTTGTACCACTTCTCAACCTACATTGATTCCTTTGATCCATTCAGAACAACGCTGGATGAGCCTCTTTGTGCTCGTGCGTGAGATGCTCTAGGAGAATTATTGGGATGTAGGGTAGGGGCATCTTCAGTTGGCTTAGCTATATTACCAAATTGCTCTCCAAAAATTTCTTCCACTTCACATTCCCATGAGCTTCCATTCACTTCGAACAATATTCCTTGTCTCCCCACTTTATAAAAATGAGGCAATTCTCATTCCATTCTGTTTTCCTTCTTTCCTGTCTCCTACGTTTTACCTTCTGTGGACTACATTTTACCTTTTACATGGTTAAATTGTTGACGTTTATATCCTTTATAATCTCTGTTAACTTTTCTCTGCTTTGTCGATAAGTTGACTGTAAAAGTTAGACACCAGTGAAAGGTGTTTACACGTTTATAACCATTTAAATATTGTTCAGTGCCTGGGCGAGCAGCGTGCTGGAATTGCATTTCCTTCCCTGCAGGTCCTGTGTTACCAACCCAGGACCACATCAAGCAGAATGTTCACCGCATCAGGGACCAGTGGAGTCTCTTCTTACATTTAGCATTTGCTTTAAATCATGTCACGTTTAGTTGACTAAGGTAATTCTATAGCTCCCCTTAGACCTTGGAATTTCTTATTGTCTTCTTTTTCTTTTCATACTGTTTTCCGTTATCATATCTTCACATTTTTCCAAAACTCTCTATCATACCATCTTTTCTACTGAGTGAGTTGGCTTCCCCCCCACTCCCCCCACCCAAAAAACCCCTCCATTTTGAAGCCTTCTCTCTTCCTGTGCCAGTCTGGACTTGCCCTCTAGACCTGCTATACAGCTGTCATCCTGGAACCTTTTGTCTGTTCCTGCTTTCCTGGGTCAGAGTTGTAAATTTATGGATTGCATATCTTTTTCTTTCTTAGTTTATTCCTTTACTTTGCTGGAGTACATCCTGAAGTAACTTCCCGCAGAAGAGCGCATGGAGGATAGATTTTCCGTGTCCTCACAGGTCTGAAGTGTTTTTGTCCTCACACTTAATAGTTTGGCTGGATATAAAATTCTGACTAATCATTAAACTGTGGGACCCCCCCCCCACCACCACCACCATGTTCAAATGAGAAGAATAGTGTCTATATGGGAGGTCTTAGCTTTGGCCCAGACTACCAAGACAAATTTTTTTTAGAGCAAAGCTGGCAGACTTTTTTGCTCAGGATGAGTGTCAGCTGCCTGTGCTTTATGCCCTAAGGGGCTGGGGATTACAGGGATGTGCCAACAGGGGCAGTAGTCTAGTTTCGCTTCCAGTTATCACCTTGACCTTTGGCCTACTTCTCTGCTGACTCTGAGCACAGAGCCTCTCAGTGATTTCATCAGGTAGACCGGCTCCAACCACCTTCGTAGCCCTCCAGGGAGAATACATGAGTCTCAACTTCCTCCAACTGTTTCATTCATTGGCCTTCTCCCATCTGCTTTCCACCTTGCAGAGGTCTGTTGACTGTTTTCTATTACTGGTGTGCTTCCTGCTTTTTCCCTTTTTATACTTTCATTTCCCAATTTATTAGCTGTGAGAACCGAGAACGTTATTTAACCTCTTTGTGCCTCAGTTTTCTCATCTCTAAAATGCAAAATAGTGGAACCTACCTTATTAAGTTTGTTACGAGGATTAAAAGAGTTAATACGTATAAGGCCCTCAAACAGGACTTGGCACATGCTCAGCTCTACAGTGCAAGTCGGTTGTTATTATTACTATTATTATTATTATTGTGAGGGCTTGCAAGGAATCAGAGACAGGATCCCAGGATTACTGTAAGCTGAAGTATTTAGACAATTTATTAAGGGCTCTGGTCTCAAATGGAGGAAACCCGTGGAAGGAAATCACCTGAGGTTCTTTGATCTGGCTTACTCATCTTGAGCTTGGGGTCCCCTG